AAGGAAGGAAGGAAGGAAGGAAGGAAGGAAGGAAGGAAGGAAGGAAGGAAGGAAGGAAGAAAAGGTGTGAAAAAGGTCCACTGCCAAGTTAGACCTCTTTCTTTAGCAGCTGAGTCTCCTCGGCTCCATCTTGCTGTCCCAATGGGATCATCCTCTCCTAAACGCCCCTCCTGCCAAGTTGCTCTTTAACACTGCACTGCCAGTCTTCTCATGATTTGGGCCTCTCTGACTTTTTGTGAACCTATATGTTGGTTTGGATTTTCTGAAAGTCTTATGTTTGTGCCTTCATGTCTTTCATCATGTGTGTAAAAGTCTTACCTGCTATACTGTCAGATATTAGAATTATTTTCTTTTCTTACCTTTTTTTTTTTTTTTTTTACAATGTCTGGACTTCTCTTTCTCTCTTTATTCAGTTTGGTGCCATAGTCCATGAGATAGTGCCACCCATATTGAAAGACAGTCTCTGTCCTAAGTTAAGCATCTCTGTAAATGCCCACACACACATGTGTAATAGTGTCTCCAAACCTGTCAAGTTGACATGAAACACTGACTATCACATGATCTTCCCGCCTCAACCTCTGCTGTAGCTACAATTATAACCATATTTTACCCATGCTTCATAAATGCTCATGTGGAATTTTTTGAATTTGTGAATTAAAAGATGTTATCAATAAAGTAAAAACTAACCCACACATCAGAAGAAAATGTTTAGGGAATCACCTGATAAGTGATAAGCATCCAAGTGTGTAGATAGCTAAATCACAATACTCATGACAGCTCCATTTAAAAGCAGATGATATGAAACGACATTTGTCTGTAGAAGGTGTATGAAAGAGCAACAATCATACAAAAACACACTCAGCCTCACCAATTCTTAGAAAAATACAAATTGAAGCTGCAGTGAGGAATCCCTTCACACCATGAGGTTGGCTACTACTGTAAAAGAAGCAGAAAATCACAAATGTAAGCAAGGATATGGAAAAAGAATGCTTATGCATTGTTGATGAGAAGGTAAAATTAAGCAGCCATTGTGAAAACATTGTGAAATCACCTTAAAAAACAACAAACACAACACTCTAATGTAATTTAAAGCAAGGTTTTGAAAAGATGGTTTTTTTTTACAGTCAATGTACATGATAATATCATTTGCAATAGCTATAATTTAGAGGTAGTCATTTGAACATTATCAGGAGAGTGGATAGACAAAATGTACAATTTCCTTCCTTGTAAAGGAAATTCTGATATACACCACAACTCAGGTGAATACCATTGAGAACATTATGCTAAGTGAAATAAACCAGTCACAAAAAAAAGAAATGAATTCTGTATGCTCCCACTCACACAGAGTAATCAAGATCATAAAGACAAAGAAAAATGTTGGGGAGTTAGGGGAGATTTTTTTAACTAAGGTTATTGTTCAAGACAGTGGTTGGTTTCTCAGATAAACTGTCTATGCCACTATTGCACTGCTGGGTACATCCTACCCGTCAGGTTGGGAGAGCATAGAGCCTCAGTTTGTTGTTACTGTGGTGTGTATGCGTGTGTGTGTGTGTGTGTGTGTGTGTGTGTGTGTGTGTGTGTGTGATGTGTGAGTGTGTATATGTTTATTCAAATGTGTGAGTGAAGTGTGTGCGTAGCACACATGTGGAGGGCAGAGGACAACCTTTAGATATTCGTTATTGCCTTTCCACCTCATTTTATTTATGTATTTACTTATCTTTTGAAATGTTCATACTGGTTTACAATGTATCTTGATAATATTCATCCCTCATTACCCCATTCCATCTCCTCACAGGAAATTCTCTTCCTACTGTGTAGCCTTCATTGCAAGCTTCTGGGGTAGAAAGGACATCAATGATCTTGTCCAGTGTTGGACCCTGTGTGCTCCATTACCAACCTGACAGGCAGGATGTATCTAGTGTTGCAATTGTGGCGTGACGGTTTATCGGAGAAACCAACCACTGTCTTGACTGGATCTAAGACTTGATCCACAAGAAGGAATTCATGCCTGGTACTGTAAACATGGTCAAAATTTATGCCTACAGAAGTCATAGGCCTTAGGGGAAAACCTATTGATAATGGCTAAATGGTCATATTATCAAGCTGCCTTATCAGTGTTTAAACCATAGGTTTGTGCTGCCCTCAACCTTGGTGGGAGAAACTTCTTATTGCTGTGGGTAGTGATGAGTTCACACGCACATTGCTGTTCAAAGTACTGAGAACAATGTGACTACGGGTGCCCAGCCATAGACGGGACATCACTATCAAATCAATGTCAAACCTCTCCTCATTGGCTCAGAGAATATGTCATGGAAGGTGGGTTGAAAACACTGAAAGATGATGAGGACAAGAGCTATGGCTGTTGTGCTCTGGATCTGACATAGCCGCCTCATACATGTACTCACAGCCTCTGTGATTGCCTATATAAGATCTGTACAAGGTCATGCCAGAAGATGGGCTTCCAAGGCCATACACTAGCTGAGTAGCTGTAAGCAATTGATGGTATCTTGTTGAGTGAGAGTCATTGTACTTTGGGGGTGTGACCACTGACAGGTTTCTCTAAGCCCCCAATAAGTATGGATTACCTCCAGATTTATTCATGTATGGACAACACTGCTTGGGCTCAAGGAGTTAAACAGTAAACAAATAATGTTAGCTATTTTTTAAAGTTTAAATTACCTTAGCATCATTTCATACTAGCACTTTGTCCTTGTCTATGGCCACATTACTCTGACTGCAACTGATCTCAAACGTATCACTTATGTTTAAGCCAACTAGATGTGAATAATTTTTTCTTTTGTGAGTGTGAGTATTCATGCATGTGTATGAGTGGGTACATGTGTGTATGAAGGGATATGCAGGTTTATGTGTATGTATGTTTATGGCAGGAGAACAACCTCATGTTTCATTCCTGATGGACCATCCACCATTTGTCGATATAGAATCTCTTACTGGCCTTTCTCCACCCCCATCCCCATGCCTTAGGAGTTGCAAGCATGTACCACACTCCATCTTTGTTGGCTCACTTGCTTTGTTTTGTTTTTGCCTAATTGAACTCGGGTCCTCAACTTGCATGTTACCCACTGAGCTGTCTCCTCAGTCATCAGACACTCATATTTTATATTCTGTGCTTTTAATTTAAACACTTGAAGTCTCTGTACATAAGAGTTTTCTTCCTGGTTGTTATTTGTGATGTATATTTTTGTGAAGAAGTTCACAAAGAAATATGTGACCATTTATTTCCAAGAAATTTATTTTTTATGGATTATTTAAGATGTGCCATTAAGATGGTGTTTGTGGGAATGTGTATGTGTGTATTCCTATACCATATATCTCCTACAAGGAATCTCTATCTATGAAAAGAGATCATTTCTACTTAGTGGGATGCCTTAATGGACAAATGTCATACTGCTGTCCCTACCAGAGCAAGGAAGCTGGGAAGAGATCCACTTTACCAATCACTAGCCTAACAAGAAGAAGAAGAAGAAGAAGAAGAAGAAGAAGAAGAAGAAGAAGAAGAAGAAGAAGAAGAAGAAGAAGAAGAAGAAGAAGAAGAAGAAGGCCAC